GAATGGAATAACGGGCTAAATATGACTCGTATTTACTAAAATATATATCGATATATAGCCATATTAAATGCTATCTAGAAGCTTGAAAATTATGCCGAGTCTCCGACTAAGAATGTTTTGACAACACCGTCATGTCAGGCAAATATTTCCAATCTCATCAGCAATTTAAACCTGTCAAGTAGAAAGCGTAGTTGTGTATACCAGTATGGTCTAGTGTTGATCACAACTTGCGAGTACATAAATAACATCAACGATTGCTCAAACTCGGTATCGTAAATTTGTATATAATTTTTTTAGTTGAGCACATTTTTAATACAGTTTGATTTGGTTATGTAGACATCGAACATGTACATGATGAACGAACATTGTCGTATTTATAATTAAACTGTTACTTGTATATATAAATTTTCCGCCATATTAAAAATACTGAAATCTGCTAGGCGTTCTATAGCACCTTGAGCGGTGACGTCACACCTAGGTCCCAGTCTCGTACTACATCCACTTTTTTCTCGCGCTTGCTTCAGAACGACTGGGACTAGGCTGACTCACAACATTGTTTTGGGGAAAGGGAGTGGGGATTTTATCTGAAGTAGTTTTTAACTATACCCGTTTTCGAGTTAAATAGTTTTAAAAATATTGGAGGCGAAACCAGGATTCATAATTAATTGTCAAGCGTTCTCTGGTTAAAAATATTTATAACCAGAGAACGTTTATGTAAACGATAGTTATTAACTCTTGCGATTCTGGTTGGTTTCTTGTTGCACTAACTATTGTAAACTGTTTGCCCTAAGTCCCGTATTATTCTGAGAGCAGTAAGAGAAACCCAGTCACACGAAAGTTGCTCAGGTTATTACCTAAAGTGATTTATTTAACGATCTGCCCTGTCCAAACCAATTTTTTAATACACAAAATTAACAAAGAAACGTGCTAACCAACCGCTCAGCTAATAAAACATTTACAGTATTTACTCAGGTTCTCTCTAGCGGGAGTTATCCTATTAAGACCGTTTTCTATTAAGGCCTGATTCCACGAGCGCTTTTTCTCGGCGAAATGCGAAATATTTCGCCTGTTTCTTTTGAATTGCGACTACTCGAATAAATTATTTCTACTTGATTGATCACAATTCAAAAGAAACAGGCGAAATATTTCGCATTTCGCCAAGAAAAAGCGCCCGTGGAATCAGGCCTTTACGGTCGTTTTGTCCGCGCGGTATGAGAGCCACTTTGCACATGCGCACCTTGCGCTATGACAGTGGATACATCTTGTTTCATTTATTGACATGGGAATTTGTGCGGTTATTCGCGGTTAGCTTAGACTGCTCGCGGTCTACGGTTAGCTGTGCACAAACTCGTCCGGTATTAAGGCCTCATTCCACGGGCGCTTTTTCTCGGCGAAATGCGAAATATTTCGCCTGTTTCTTTTGAATTGTGAGCAATCAAGTAGAAATAATTTATTCGAGTACTCGCAATTCAAAAGAAACAGGCGAAATAATTCGCATTTCGCCGAGAAAAAGCGCTCGTGGAATCAGGCCTTTAGGCGTCCTGTGTGAACTGGAAAAGCGAAATCGTTCAAAATTCATCCCGTTCAGTAAACGGAGCCCACTCCTTCGCCTCGCGCCGTTTTGAGAAAGACCCTGGGAACGAGGTTGCGGAGCCCATTGAAATGAATATAACTGGAACGCTACCTTCAGATAAACTGCCTATCTTTTTATTGAAGCGTGTTTATATCATGATCGACTGATTGAGCGCTCTTCGCATGCCTGAAAAGACTGGGACTGGCCTTCAATTTGCTTCAAATTTCCGTTTAGATGAAGAAAAAATAGAGAAGTTCAGATTTGACTTCCACTATCTCTCACTGACGCACCTGATTGGTTAATCGGATGTATCAATAGATGATTCCCTTATTACGTTTTCGTAGCGCTTTGCATTGTGGTTATAGTGCTATCACTGATAAAGATAGCGGCCTCGAATGAAAATATTGACTATCGCGCACCTGACCCTAGCTTTTTTTTTAAGTTCTTGCACGGGTCGGGACAAAAAATAATCGTGAATATCAGTGGAAGCACTATAACCACAATGCAAAGCGCTACGAAAACGTAATAAAGGAATCATCTATTGAAGTCAAATCTGAACCTCTCTAATAACGGATAGTAAACGTATAAATAATATTTCTTCTTGATATTATAGATATGGAGAAATCGTGGATATCAATTTAGTTCGAGATAAATCATCTGGAAAATTCAAAGGTTATGGATTCTTATGTTATGAAGATCAAAGAAGTACAATTCTTGCAGTGGATAACTTAAATGGAATAAAGGTACAGTTGGTATATGTGTTAATGTTTAAAAGGTTTGGCAAGCCGGCAATTATGTAGAAATTAGAATATCATATTAAATAAAAAATATGTACGTTTCACGTAATGGCAGTGCAACTGCAGTAACAACGGTGGTATAGAACAGGAGCGTTCGAATTAGTTATCTGAGCATTTGACATTTTTTAGCTTGGTGGTCGTACAATCCGAGTTGATCATGTGGCTAACTACAAACGACCAAAAGGAGATGAACGCGATGAAAAAGGCGAAAGAAAGGACCTACCGCTGGTTGGTTGTGCGCCCACAACACCACCTGGCTCTGACGAAGACCCGGATGAAGAAGAAAATGATGTCGTGATGGAACCCAAAAAGAAGAAAAAGAAGAAGGAAAAATCAAAGAAACGAACAAAAGAAAAGAGGAAAAGTGAAAAGGGCGAAGTGGAAGAGCGAGCACGAGCAAGATCGCCAAGTGCAGAAAGATGGAAGATTGGTAGAGATAACAAAGAGTTGGGTGGTAGAACGAAAACACTGGGCAATACCTCGGAAATGGATCGAGATAGGAAGAGATACAGGGATGAACGAAGTTACAGGGATAGAATGAATGTGGATAGTTATAGGAGGCACGACTATAAAGAAAAAGACAGAGAAATGGACATGAGAGAGGATGTTAAATATAAAGGGAACATTGAAGAGAGAATGAAGTATCGTAGAGATGATGAGAGAGGCAGGGACAAAGATACAGAAAGAAGACGATATGAAGATAGAAATAGAAAATAATCTTACCAAGGCTATTTCACGAGGTGTCAGATACAAAGGAAATATTGTAGACAAAAGGAAATATCGAGGAAATAAGGATAATGAGAGAGGCCGCGACAAAGATACAGAAAGAAAACGGTATGAGGATAGAAAAAATATTACAAAGGTTAGATATAAAGGAAACAATGTAGACAACGGAAATTTGTACCAAACTCAACACATCGATATGTTGGATTATCATGAAGACACGCGTATGCAAAACCTGAATGTTTGGCGTTGAACATTTAGTGACTTTTCTTCGTTCTCTAATAGAAATAATAGATAGATATGCGTACTTTTTAGTCTCTTGGTGAAAATGGAGATTCCACAAATGAAGGAGATTCCACAAATGAAGGATTTGGAAGGACGTTTTCACTCGTCCCAGATTCAAAAGGACAGGGGCCATTATCCGTCACTGAGTGCCATTGATAAAGACTTCGCGATCGTTTGCAACGGTCTGTTTTGTTTGCGTTCTAACAAGATAAAGACTGAACTACCATAGATCATGTGAATATCGTATGTGAATATCGTAATTAATGAAAATATATTACGTCAACTAGTGAAAATATATTAATAAATACAGTGTAAGTTAATATGCTATACTTCATTACTGTATGCTAAATTCCGATGATTTGCTACAAATTATGAAGCTATTCGTAATTCCTAACTTTCTTAGCCATTTCCAAATTCTCCAAATATTTATCACTGATTTTTATTTGATAAGGTTCCAGAAATTGAAAAAAGGATTACCAAGGACAAGGACAAAGCTCTTGGTTAAAACTCCTGTTGAACCGTCATCTCGAATGTTTTTGCACATGCTATGAAATATTGTACTGCACTTAACCATGCAATACTGGGCCCAATAGGAATTCTAATCCGTAATTTTGTCATGAATATTCAATTCAATGTCCAACATCAAGGATTCGATATTTAATTGATCATATACAGTATATCTGATCTTGATCTAATTTGAAATCAATGACATTCAATTGGTTTTGGAATGGATTTGTAGTCTTGTTTGATTTCTATCCAAGTCTCCATATCTTCAATCGAAAAGTACATTTACAAGGGTAAATGGATAAGAATAACGTAGCCGTAGAAGATAACTAGTAAACTCAAGATGAACAATCGAACTGTCCAACGATCTCTGTTTATGTTCATCAGTAATTCCTGTTTCGTATTTGTTTTGACAACCAATCTAGTCCTTCATATATTCCTGTACCTTTCGTAGCACACGTCGCCTGTATATACCATTTTCTCCCACAAAGAGTATGTAAACCCAATTTCTCAGCTAACTGTGTAGTTCCCATTGATAATGGCAAATCCTGTTTATTTGCAAATACCAGTAACACAGATCTACGAAGCTCTTCTTCTTTAAGTAAGCAAAACAATTCAGATTTAGCTTCTTGAATTCTATCGCTATCATTACTATCGACAACGAATATAAGTCCTTCTGTCTGTTGAAAATATAAGCGCCATAATGCTCGGATTTTGTCCTGACCGCCTATATCCCAGACTGTAAAATTTATATTCTTGTATTCCACACTCTCTACGTTGAAACCAATTGTCGGCATTGTGTTTGAAATTGGTTCATTTAGTTTAAGTTGATATAATATTGTCGTTTTCCCTGCTGCATCGAGACCAACCATTAAAATACGAATATCTTGCTTACCAAACCAACGTTTGAATAGATTTACAAGGGTGTTGCCCATGCTATCTTGACAGAAAAATTTTGTAGCCGCGTATAAGGAGCTTCTAGTCGTGATTGGAAGAAAACGCTAAAAAACGAGAAATGTGTACTCAAAACCTATACGAACGAGGTCCACAAATTTGAAGCACAAAAATAAACTAATATTACAACCTGTTAAACAACTGGTGGAAACCACTCAAGCGTGACGGCAATTATTTATACTTTTTAGTCAGTTGCGCTGAATTTCGTCTTTGAAAAAGAAATTAGGAACTTTTAATTGGTTTAGTAATTTTGTAAAGTTCCTAAAAAGATTTTTAAATTTGCAAATGTAAACCCTGTACAGACGAGTACATTTTATAACACAAATTCCTTGATAGTTAATCCTTGTCGCTGTTTGGGTTTCATATGACGTCACGTGGGGGTCTGCAGTCTCAAGGTAAAGGACGGCTTTTAAATTCGCTAGTGGAAAACCGGCTTTATGTTGTTTATATTGGCTTTTATAATAGTCGGAGAAGGCATTTACATAAGATGCGTTGACAGGCATTTTCTTTCTTTGTTGTTTTATAGTTGTTCAATAATTGAACTGAGGTCAACTAATTGACAAGTTTCAAAAGTAATCAGGCCTAACAAAAAACATCCTGTGGTTCCGGTTTCATATCCTGAGAAACGGTATACAGGGTTCGTACACCTTCTCCATTTAAAATTCCATGACTTTTCCACGAATTTCAATGACCATTTTTTTCAAAATCCATGAACTGGAAGTCTGGAATTTCTGAAATTCGTTAATATTTTAACGATAACAGATATAATAAAAGGGGTTCGTACATTTGAAAGTCCTTGAATTTGAAAACAAAAATTCAAGGCCGTAATCCTTGAATTTGTAAAGAAGTACTCGAGAGTCCTTAAAATCTTCTTGCTTTAGTTTATGGATATTTTCTGAAATTGTTTGACATTCAAAACGGACATTTTGTTGAATTTATTTTGCATGTTAATATCTGATAAAACTGTTTGATAAATTCATTAAAGTTGCGCCCTTTTTGAACAATTCAACGTCACATTTTAATGATTTCTAACGCCTTCTCTTCAGTATTTAGTCCTTGAATTTCCTGATACATGGCCTTGAATGTCCTTAAAAAGTCCTTGAATTTGCTGATACATGGCCTTGAATGTCCTTAAAAGTCCTTAAATTCGACTCTTCCTGACCTGTACGAACCCTGTTATAGGCGTAAAATATTTTATGAATCTATTTAGAACTAGGGTCGGTAGGTAAGAAAAGAGGTCGGTCGGGAAGCCAGAATCACAGGATATTCTTTAAGCCTTAACAGATGAAATCTTCAAATTTGGAAATCGTGCCAGACTAGACAGCCAGAATATGTGAGAACGAAGTAAATCAAAATAATATATTTTGTTGTATTTCCCCGTTGAACTCGCGAGTATTCTGAATAATAACAGGAGGTAAAATATGCATTAACAATACCTTTTAGATACCACATTGTGAGGTGTTCATCTATTTGAAATATTGATTGTTGATGATACTCGACAGCCTGAAAAGTCACCTCCTGACCCTCTGTTTCCTGACGCAGGGCCATCTGTTGAAATATCTCAGTGTTTGTCATCTTTTCAGGCTGTCTAGTATCATCAACATCCATGCACGATTTCCAAATTTAAAGATTTCATTAGACTAACACCTACTAACTCTCTGTTAATTATAGCCCTATCCCTTATGCTAAACCTAATGCTAAATAGCTCTAAAACTAAACTATTATCGCAAACATTAATGTTAACCCTAACGCAAAAACTATAGAATGTCATTATTTGACAACAAATTCAATAAATGTATTATAATATTCACTACAAAATTATTTAATTTTTTTTTTAACTAAGTTCAAGTTTGCTTATCTCTTCTCGAAGACTGTCTTCAGTGTTAAGTTTCTCTTCCTGGAAAAAAATTAATATAAAAATGTTAATGAGAAAATAACAGTTTATTTCGGGAAATTGCACTGGCACTGGACAAAAAAACATCGCGATTACTCTAAAAATCATTCATATAACACCTCGATATATTTTAAATAAATTATATGTAAAAAGGCTATATATCCTTATTCCTGGACTTTTTTAAGCTAGAACTACATATTCGTATACGTGCAAGAAGAATGTGATGTTACCATAGGCGTTGTCAAAGTTGACCATCTAATTTTAATTCTTATTGTTTACCTGATTCTTTTCTAATTTCTTTCCAGCCTTAATCTGAATTTTTAGTTCTTCAATCTGTTTAAGTTTCTGCATTAAAAATAGATAAAATGTTGAGATTTGTAAAAAATGTGGTTCGACTTCCCTATATCTAGCTCAATTTATGTTAATTATAACAGTACTCTATCGTGACTAAATTATTTCGTCTTGGTTTATCTCTTTAGTTTATAACAGGGTGTCCACCCTTTGTGAAGGTGAAATTCAAGGATTTTTCCAGGACTTTCAAAGTCCTGTTTCAGTAAATTCAAGGACCTAGAACTGGAAAAATATTTGAAAATGGCACGGATTTGCCGTAAATAATTCACTTTATTCAGTAATTACTCGCTGGGGCACCTGTGCCCCGGACGAGTATAGGTTTCGGCTCGCATTTTTCTCCGATAGTGGATCGACGATCGATAGCCACAAAATAGAATATTAATGAGCTACCTAATTTTTACCCAAATTATCCATAAAGTTCCTGCGGCTCCTGCCAATTTTTACCCACATTATCCATAAATAACCCTGCATTTTGAGGAAAATTCGGGAAAATTGAACAATTTTATAAGGAATTTCGACATGGAAACAGCAACCTTCGCAAATCGCAAGTTACGTTTGGCTGCGCTGCTTTATATTTTGAGAAGAAGCGACATCGTTCCATACGATTCAGCGTAAGAAATTGTATACTTACGGATGTCAAGTGTATTACTAAACACCAGTATTCTAGCGATTTATTGCCTTTGAAAATCAAACGAAATTGTATTGTTGATAAATCGCTCGCGTACGTATTGAGGATAAAAATACCACCGTTCGATTCAGCGTTAGAAATTGTACTAATTACGGATGTCAAATGTACAGTATTACTAAACAACAGTATTCTAGCGAATATGGCCTTTGTCAGTTGAAAGCCAAGCGAAATAATTGTATTGTTGACAAGTCGCTCAAAATTATTAATGCAGTACGTTTAATCCTTGATAACTTTGGTATCGTTGGTTTTCTCTTTTTCGGCCGTATACCGGTGGATTCGTCTCACTTCTCTCTTCATTTTGATAGTATTTTGAGCCCAAAGATGCGGTACAGTCCGTATGTAAACAAAGGCTTTGTTTACATTTCGGTATCCAAAATATTGAATTTCACTCGACAACTATTTATATTTTCATGATTCTGGAGTATAATAAATTATCAAGAGACAACAATCAAGCTTTGCAAGAACATAAAATGAAATAAAAACCTAAATAAACTGTTTGTAAATAAAAAGAGGGCTCCTTTGTGCACATGCGCAGACCAGACTGTGCCGCATCTTTAAAGCGCTGTTTAATCCTAGCGTACGGACCAACTGTCTTGAAGAAATAGAATGTAGCGTACTATAAAATACAACTTTACTTGTAGGGCCTACCGCATTTTTTTAATCGAAATCACTAATGTTGGCACAGCTGAAGGTTAAGGAAATTAATTCCAGGACTTTCAAGGACTTCTACTGATTTTCAAGGACTTTCCAGTCCTGGAATTTTTTTTCCAATTCAAGGACTTTCCAGGATTTTCAAGGCCCGTGGACATCCTATTATATAATTAGTATTAGCATACAGGGTGTATAAAAAAATGTACACCTTTCAAATTCAAATTAACGGTAATCTATTGTAGTAACTTGACAGCCGTATAATTTCTCGAATTCATGAATGCGTGAAAACACAAGGTCTTCTGCACATGGGAATTTAGGATAACTTCTATTTGTATGAACAAATACACAACTCAAAGAAAAATGTTTAAAGTAAGCATTATTCAAGTCTGCGTACGATATAAAATGGGCCAGCTTACTGCAGAGCAACGAATAGTTTTTTAGATTATGGCGAATTTGAAAGGGTGTACATTTTTTTGATACATCCTGTATACGTATTGGTGAGGTGGATAGTGCTTTTCCCGCAATTTGATTGGTTGCTCATCTCTGGGTATCCTTGCAGTATTCACTCCAGACCAAAACAAAATGTGTTCCGGCTTTGTTCCGGTTACAAGCAGATTTTTGTACTAAACGAAACTACGGTTCCGCCAAACACGAAGAAGCGACAAACGTAAGTTTTGTATAGAGCGTTTGCACATGACGTTCCAATCAAAAGAATTTTAATTAGACTCTAATGTGTAGAGGTATTCTTTAAAGCTATTTCTAATATATAAAATTACTAAAAGCTTGTAAATACTGTTTTGTTTACAACTAAGCTAGTTATTACGGGAGCTGTACTGCAAATTGTTTTAATGCCGTAATCATTATCAATACCATTTTAATACCAAACCATTACCCTATATATATATATATATATATATATATATATATATATATATATATATATATATATATATATATATATATATATATATATATATATATATATATATATATATATATATATATATATATATATATATAAGTAGTAAGGTGAGGGGCTTAATACACCCCGTTTATGCGCATAATTAAGGGGGTTAATATTATGCAAATTAATTAGCATAATCGATGACGTATTTTTCCGATGATTTTCCGATGACGATAAAACAACGAGGGCTTTCCGATAATTAATTTGCATAATGATGACGTATTTTCCGAAGATTCTCCGATGCTGATAAAACAACGAGAGCTTTGGGATAAAACCGTCTTGGACACAACGCTTAGTTGCATAGTGGTTGCTACATAGAAAGCCTTAGCAACAGCCTGAATTTGAATATCACTAATCCCTAAAAAGTCATTAAGAAGTCATTAACTATTGTACATGGCTGAACACATTGTAATTTGACGACTTGGTCTGAACGTGTTTGTGCAAAACGGCTTTAACAACTGGACAAGCCTGATTTGTACAATAGAGGGATGTAGATAAATATCAGACACGGACAGTGATTGTCATATAAACAGCAATGGAGTGTTTGCATGGAGTGCCGGCGTCCGCAGTTTCTACAAAAAATGGAAAATTTTGGTTTTGCAACAAAAATAACCAGAAAAGTTGTGAATTCTTCTGCCCTGAGCAAGACCGCTTGTTGTTCGAAACGGCTATGATAATGTGGAGAGCGAATGGATCAATTCATCCGGTGTGTGATACTCACCAAAGACTAGCAAGAATGAAAGTCGTCAAAGACGTCGGTAAACTGAACTTTGGAAGGCCGTTTTTTGTTTGTTGCGACCGCGAGAATCCGTGTAATTTCTGGCAGTGGGCTGACAGACACGAGTTGCCAAAACCAAAATGCAGACACGGATTGAATGCTTGCGTACGGAAAGTCAAAAAGGAAGGAGAAAATCAAGGTCGCCTTTTCTTTTGTTGTCCAAACGAGCGAGAAAAGTCGTGCGGATTTTTTGAATGGAAACTCGATCTGGAAAACCCGTTCAACCAAGTTCATTTTCCTCACGTTGAAAGAGTTGGTATATTGCAGAGTAATCCTGCGCTGTACACATACATGGTAGCTGAAACTGGACTTACCTTTACCAGCGCACGGGAAAATCCACACGATGCCTACGCAGAATATATTAGGGAATTGCCTATTTTCTCACCAACGAGAGATATGGAGCAACTGTCACTGATAGACTATTAGGAGACTATAATTAAGCTATTAAAACATTGTTATATTAACCCGAACAGAACACTTAACCTAAACCTAGTGAGTGAAATGTTGTATAAATACTATAAATAAAAATCATAATCGTTTTTCTTTCAGTTCAAATAAAATTACTTCGTCGTCTTCTTTATGCCTAAGAGGGTAAAGTTCTATAGGATTGCGACGGATGACGCGTTGCCTTTGTGCTAGAAACCTGCGCCGTATCAGGAACACGCACACTGCTAGGACAATCACCAGCGGTAAAATCGCCATCAGCCATAGCATTTTTCTCCCTTCCTTTTTCCATTTTTTGTTCGTTGAAGGTTCAGTTCGGCTCAAACGACCCGAATCGTGTTTTGCGGTACTGTGATTAAACTTATTGGACACGCGAGTGAAATGTTGTAAATACGCTTTGGCCCGAATAGTACAAAAAGTACAAATATTTTTACGTAGCCTCTAACTCTACCATTGCCTACAAAGGCGGACATTATGAAAAAGACTTACTGAACAGTCTCAGTATTCCAGCCGTAAATTGGGAGTCCTTTGGATGTCCTAAGGCTGAAAAACTCTTTGAAACCTGCAAAAAACCACCTATCAACACTGTCCGAAAGTTGTGTAATACCATTAACAACTGAATCGTATCAACGCAAGTATTACGTAATTGTACTGCACTGATAATATTACATACTAAGACTATGTGCACACGGTAACGTTTTCGAGCGTTTTCATTTGCGTTTTCACGCTAAAACGGATGCAAACACTATCAATTTACGACAGAAGTTGTAGTTTAGTTAATATATTGGAGATATTTTCCTTTGGGCCGTGCGAATACGGCGTCAAAACGATTTTACGGACAAAAACGTTTTTGAAAACGCTGCAAAACGACGCCCGTGTGCACATAGCCTAAGTCTAAGCCTTTGATGAGCGAATGCTCATCTGCTCACAAGGCCCGTTTAACCCAAACTACTGTGTATGAGCAGATGAGCATGATGAGCATGTGCTCATAACTGCTCATGAGCACATGCTCATCTGCTCATGAGGCCCATTTAGGCCCAATGGCCCGACGTGCATTCTTCGTTCGTGGGAGCCCAGACACTACTTTTTATGTACACAAATGTATAATTTTTCGTATTCGCATGTTTTTGCCATTTTGATTTCTATCCGGCCAACCCATGTAAAAATAACAAGAAAAGATAGGTATAATTGAAAAGCAATTTATTTTAATGACTCGAAGTTACATGCTGTGTCTATACTGGTATTGTTTTACATGCTAATACTGTTCGAGTACAAGACTTTGATCCTGTATTCGACCTATCAGTCGAGTCTAATCATGATTGCATGTCATCGTCATCATTCTCTTCATCAAAATCGTAACCCTTTAAAAGCCTTCTTATAAGAAATTTTCTCTTATCAACAGCTGCTTCTAACGCTTCTTCTGGATCAAAATCATCGTTTTCCACAAGCGCATCTTTTGTGTGCATGATCT